AACTTAGTATTTCTGTTTTTAAAATTAAAAGCAATAACGGCAACAAACAAAAAAACAAAAAACGAAAAGTGTTGTACGGGAAAAAAATGATGAAATATATATTGCAAGAGGTGAGAGGAAAGAAAATGAATAAATAGTTGCGGGAATAAGAACAACTGCAAATATTTCTCAAACTAACAGCAAAATCAATTTATTGTACAAATAAATGCAAATGTTAAAGGACGAAAGATAGTAAGTATATTTATTTATTACTCATTATTCATTCATTTATTCATTCTTTTTTTCTTCTCTTCCTCTTCCTTCCCATTTCTTTCTCTTCTCATCTTCTTATCTTTTGATTAATCATTGTGATTATTCATCAAAAAAAAAGAAGAAACAAAAAACAAAATTTCACAGTAATTTGCTGGTTGATATCTTTATATTTTCCATCCTAAAAATACATAAATTGCTTTTGAATTTAATAAAGAAGTGAAAGAATTTCGTTTGAAGGATACAAATTAATTTTATTAAGTTTTTCCATACATTTATTCCTCTTTACTCACTCTACTTTTATCCCTCATTTTTTTTCTTTTCCTATTTTCTTCATAAATCATTTTCTTTTTCCCTTTTTTGTTCATTTTCAAGTTATATCTTTTATTCTTTTTTTTTTTTTTTTTTGAAATTTCAGCAACCAAATAAATTTCATTTGTTATTTTTAAAAATCGTATGGATAAATTTTGCCATGAACTTTTCAAAATTTATAATAAAATGAAGGAAAAACATAGAAGGGAAAGTTAATTCATTTAAAAATTTAAAATATGATGAAGTATAGGTAAGTCTGATGCAGCAATAATAATCTTCAAATCAATATGATATTCGCTGCCAGCTTGTAGAAAATATCTTATAGCAAACATTGATTTATTGAAAGTAACGAATAAAAATACACATCCTTTGATCAATATTTAACAATTGGTTTCGAAATAATTTTGAGACATTTGAACTTTACAAGAATAGTATTACGAAAACATACAATCATCATAATTTTAGAATTAAAATTTAATTATTACCATAATTCAGACCGTTCTTATTTTTAATTTGATGCAAAAAAAATAAAATGAGAATATACGGAAAACTTGAAATAAAGATCTAAAAAATCTACTATTGGCATGCTATAATTTTTTATAGTATATCAAAACAATGAATTCATAATTGAATGTTAAAATTCAATTTATAATATTATTTCATGTTTAAAACAATATGCTAATTCTTTTTTTAATCATACAAAAATTTTGGAAAATTGTACGAGTAATTCAGTTACACTTTACATTTTGTACGTTACATGCAGTGATCATTTTATTTTTTGAAAATTAAAAAAAAAATTCTTTACCTTGTTTTGATACAGTAAATTCTTCAATATTATTTCTATCATCTATAATGTAATATTTTTAATGAAATTTCATGTATAAAAAATTTGTACAGAGAAGGTTTATTGTGCTATTTGTTAGTTTTATTTTAGTACAAACTTTTTTCCATTAATTTTTAATTTTTTATTTTTTTAAAAATTTATTCTTTGACAATAATACTTCACGGTTTATAAATTCCTATCACTCATTCATTAAATTCATTTTGATTCAATTCAGTTCAATTCATGGATATGAGATATGATAATTAATGTTTAATGAATTTGTTGGTTGACATTTTTAACGAATACATATTTTATTCAATGATTCAATAAAAATGTGCGTACTTGTGAAACGATGAATTATGCGAAATTCAAACAGTCAAACGTTCGGTGCAATTATTCTCCTATTAGTTATAATAGCAATATATTGTCACACAAATATGGATGAAAATTTTGTCGCCGATATTGTACCTATGGATATTTTTGTCGCACCTACAAAATGTAAGAATTATTTTCATGCAAAATTTATTTTAAATTTTTTTGTGCATGTTCAATTCAAAATCTTACAACATTTTTTATAATCTTAACTACAAATGGATTAAATCTGTACAATTGGATGAATGATTGAAGCAGCGTAATTAGGAGTATTAGGAATGGTATCAGAAGATGATCAATATTTACTTCAAACAGTTTATTTGTTGTATCTCTATTACTAATCACAAGATGAGATATGTTTTTTTTTTTTTTTAAAGCCATATCACCATTTATTTTTTAAGCAATATGGAAGCATAGTAAGATATATCCAGAAAGCTATCAATTAGACGAAAAAAGTTGTCGTACATTGACAGGCTAATATATAGCCCGAATTATTAGAAGTTTAGCTAGTATAATAAATAGTAAAACAATATACATTATGCGCTTCTATTGCATATATTCAGAAAATACTTTAGTCTGATTGTATCATGCTAATCTGATATTTTCTATAAAATAATTATAAATAATTTTAGCAAAACAAATGAGGAGTGAATTAAAGGAAAAAGATGACATAGAAATGTCATTGGCTATATCTGAAATAACCGAATCAGTTAACTACAGAAAATCGTCAAATTTAACAATTTTTGGAAATGATAGCTCGGAAATTGAAAACAGTAAGCTCCACTTTTTATTTTTATTAAAAATAGTAACATCATCCGGAAAAATTCTGTATTCATTAATAGTGATTATTAAATGATATTAAAATGTTAATAAATATAATGGAGAAAAGATGGGAAAAATACCATATATATAAATAAATTATCTTTATAGTTATCAGTGACTATTAAATGTAATCGTAACCTTCAGTTTTTACTTCATTGATAAGACATCAGGAATTTTACAAAAATTAAGGACAATATAAAATAAGATCAAAATAATTATCAGTATAAGGTAATTATATAAGATGAATGAAAACTGTAGGAAATATATTTGAGCTAGAAAGAAATTATCCCTTTCCTCTCTCTCCCTCCCCTTTTCTCTCTTCATTTCTGGAACACTTTAATATTTTGTAGCTTGGTTGGGCTAATGGAATACCTGATTTTTCATAAAACTCAAAATAGTATACTTGAATCACCTAATTGAGCTGAAATTTAGTTCAATTTCTTAGATCATAAATTCTAGCTTAAAATTTTATTTGCTAATTTGCAAAATATTACTTATTTTTTAAATGTTTAATTTTGATCCTAATTATAAATAAGACGTATCTGCGATTAACAAAAGAAAAAAAATGCAATAAAACAGCGGTGAAATGAAAGACTAAATTCAAGAAAAGATCAAATCAAATCAATAAAATCAGAAAGAATTAACCATCAATCTTAACATCGAATTTAGCTGGATTTTAATACTTGAATTTATTTCGAAAGTAATAAGAAAATAATTGTGATCATGAATACTAATTTTCTCCTTATATCTACACGATGATAGATTCGACGATGATTCTTATTTCATCAATTTTAGCAGATAATATAATTGCATTTTACGATTCTCGACGTATCTCAAATCATGTGGATGATACGCCAGTGACTATATTAATTGCTATTAGTGGCATTGCTATTATGGCTGCATTTGGCATTGGTATCAATTAAAATTTATGATTTCAACAAAATTTTTCCAATCAATAAAGGCTGTAGAATTTATGGAACCTTAGAAATTTACTAAAAATCATCATTTATTTAAAAAGGATTTCAGAAAAGATCATTTACTAAATAATTCTGATTTATTTTTAAAAATTTTCTTCTTTCAATTAAAAAAAATTATCAGCAATGGCATCAGCTCTCTATCGTCGTCGAAGAAAGCTATGTGTGTCATCAAAAGTATATCGTCAAGCGAAAAGTTCATTTTTTGCAAC